GAAAAGGTCACTACACTTTAAAAAAATCCTGAGCCACCTGCATGAACCTCAACGAGGCCTTCCACATCCACGGGACTGTGGCGGACGACGAGCAGATTCGTCACGAGCTACTCGGAACTGTCGCCCCTGTGCACTTGGGCACTCGGGCTTTCGGCTCCGGAGTGTTGGATCGAGTTTGGGGGATGTGAGGCTTGGGATTGAAGGGCTTAGGCCACTGCTGCTGCTCCTGACCTCGACCACGGCGTGTCTGAAGGTTTCACAGGGTTCGGTGGAAGGGTACAGGTTTCAACTGCAGCGTTCAGAAGGCTTGCAATTCTAGCCGCCCTTTTCCTTCCAGATCCTGGGCAGTGCCCAGGTTCCTACGATCCCGCTTCGGCTTGGTGGTGACGGCAGTCATCGCTGGGCACCCGGTTAGAATGAACTGTTCAGGGTGTCATGCTACGCCGTGTGGGTTTTGATACCGTTCTCCGTTTCATGGTTGCACTGTGCCAAGTGAAACACTGGATCCGACATCGCGGGCCGCAGCCTGTGGGCTTCCATGGAGCAGATCGGCTTCGTGCATCATGTTTGGGTTTAGGGTTTAGGGTTTTCATTGACGACTTGCAAAGGTTCCAGTGGTTTCGAGGCTTCGGGTTTCCTCGAGGCCTTTGCTCTTGGTCGAAGCATCCTGGCGGCGATCCGGACGCTGCCACCAAGCTGCAAAAAAGCCCCATGCTCAACCCTCAAGCCCTGCGCCTCAACTCCCGAAACTGAAGCTGAGCTCCTGAGTAAAAGCTTCAGACCTTCTGGACGAACGTGTCGTCGCTATCTGATGCCTCATTTCTTGATCTTCCTACAATTGCAAATTGGGAGTATGGCCCTGCTTACACTATAAACTTACTACTACAACTTGCTATTATTTTGTTTTTAGCTATTATGATTGTTGTTCTTGTTATCATTGAGCCGCTGATGTCATCTGAGGCAAGACTTCAACAAACATCCGGCCATGGACGAGCTGCTGCTTGTTATGAAGAAACCCAGAGCTGTAGTGGTAAGAGCAGCGCCCCTGTGTTTAGGGCTGCGGGCCGAGGGTTCTTGGTGAGGTGCAGATATCCTGTCTCAGTAGTTTCGGCATCGATCGAAGTCGGAAAGCAGATCGCCAGGTGCTACACTGGCATTCTTAGAGCAAGGTTGGGTGTAGTTCCTTCTCAAGACGGCGCAAGTCCTTCCGCGGCTCCAAGCTTCCACCCCCTACGGTTTCCTACGTTGTCCTCGCCGATGTATACCTACTCGGTCAAGGAGCCCAGTGGGCTTCTTAGGGATGCCGACGAGTGTACCTGGCTAACATGCTCCCTTCAGAACCCAAACTGAAACCTTCAGGCCCAAGCCGACTCTTGATGTGAGGTCCGTGGGTGATGGCAAGTTCACTCGGCTCATTGAGAAGGAGCTTTGCGAGGATGTGCGTTAGACTCAGGTGGCATTGCTAATCATATCCTTGTCTATATAGTCCCTAGCTATATTGTGGTATAGCCCAAAACCTTATTCTAGTCGAATGTCGTGGTTGAGGGATGTTTGCAAGTATGCTGAGGGACGGTCGGCAAGTTATGATTACCTATCCCGCTTAGACCTTCGAACATGTGCTTCTGGATTACTGTGAGATACTGTAGGCTTCCCCTAGCGTTATGTGATATGTATTACCAGTTGTGCGTACATCTTGCTTCGGTTGGCGGGGTGCTAGCTCTAGCTGAACGTCGGTCGGACCAGGCATCCGTGTTACAAGGACGCCTCCTGAAGTCCGTCCCCTTCTTTGTCCTGACCTGTAGGATCACGTCATCACCACCGTCATCGTGTTCTTCATCTTCATCATGACCATCATCTTCATCAGGAGTTGAGAAGACCAAAGGATGAACAAAGTAGTGACAAGGAAAACAGACTCAAGGAATGGCAGGAAACACGCAGGAGCATAGTACAGAGTTCAATCGCAGTTCCTTTCCATCAGTCGTCGTTGGACTGCTCAATCGGCTAAACGCAAGGGCACATTGTTTTCGATGATTGCTGTTATCACGAACATGAACATGACGAAGTACATGGTGATAGGAAGATGATTATGATGATGAATCTGATGAATACTCGTAGTAGGGCCTGCAGCAGCACCAGCAGTAGAACGAGTCGTGGTAGGTGTGCCTTTGCATTGTTCTAGCAGCTCAACTTGGATCCGAGGCCGCAAATGCAGCCTCGTGTCTTAGACAACGGGCAAGTCATCATTACGCTGAGCTGGCCAGCTGGCTGCAATGGGTTATCACAGAAGCCAGAGGACTCAGGACTCAGACAGAAGGAAGCAGTGTCTCTGGGTTTCCTTAGCCGTCTCCTGCACCCCGAGCTTTAGGCTTCCGAGTACTTCGACATCCAACGAGAGTACTACTTGGAGCATTTCTCTAGAGCCCTTGAGACGGACATGTCTCTCCGGGTTTAGCCACAAGGGAAGCATGCTACTAAGCCGGAAGCCTAAATCCCCAAATCCAGCATCATGGAAAACACCATGAACGAGACGGCCGAGAAGTCTGCTCGGGAAGTATTACTCAACGCGCTCGAAGTGCCCTCTCAACCACGCGAGGCCACTGACAAACTTTGCGACCTCAGTACTTTCAAGCAGCCAGACAGCCAGCATACAACAAAACGTACGGCGCTGCAGGTTGATCTATCTTCCCGGGAATGGCATCTTCTTTTCCAGGCATGGAGCCCGTCTGGAACGGTAAGCTGTGAACGAGTTTCTAGCTTCCTCACGCCACGAGAGCCATGTGTGTATCAGTTGCAAAACAGTGTGTGTGCGTGTTTCAACTCAAGAGCTTCTGCCATGTACTCTTGCTTGCTCAGCCTCTAGTCCATGCACTTTAAATTCCAGGCCGGAGTCTGAAGTGCAGCTTAAGGATGTCAGAAGTTCCGGGGTTGAGAGCTTCAGGGTTTCAGGCCTTGGATTTGGCAACTCTGATCTCTTTGCAAACTGGCCCCTGCAGCTGCACGGCATGATTGTCCTCGTTGTCCTGGTCTCCTCAAGCGGATAAGTACTGTACGAAACATACTGCAGGTTTGCCGGTGATGAAAGCTTTGACTGGATACCTGCCCCCGTGACCTGTGAATCCTGAAGCCCGATCAACTTTGATCTCTGATGTAAAGCTCTCTAAACCAGGCTTTTTCAGCCTTTGCTGATGCTGACCGGGTTGCTCGGCACAGTCGGAGGCGCCAACGGCATTCACTTAAGATTTGCGAAGGTCAGACGCCTCAAGTGCGAGCTTTGATCGAAGAGGCGTCGCACAGTACGGTATAGAAGCGGCAGCGACAGCACTGGCAACAGCCCAAAGGTTGCGACGACCCGTTGCCGCTACTGCTGCATGGAAGATGGCAAATAGGACACCGACAGCGACCACTGCCACACTGCTACGGTACTGCTGCTAACCACCGCTGCTGCAGCTGCTGCTTCTACTGTGCTACGACGACGACGACGACGACGACTACTACTACTACTTTTCTGCAACTACAACAACAACAACAACAACTACTACTACTACTACTACTACTACTACTACTACCTGCTACCTACTACCTACTAACTACTAACTACTAACTACTAACTACTAACTACTAACTGCTAACTACTAACTACTAACTACTAACTACTAACTACTAACTACTAACTACTAACTACTAACTACTAACTAACTACTACTACTACTACTACTACTACTACTACTACTACTATCACTACTACTACTACTACTACTACTACTACTACTACTACGACCTACTACTACCTACTACTTCCTACTACTTCCTACTACTTCCTACTACTTACTACTACTTACTACTACTTAATACTACTTACTACTACTTACTACTACTTACTACTACTTACTACTACTTACTACTACTTACCACTACTTACCACTACTTACT